GGTCATTGTGTCCCCAACCCCTCCTGTGACCTCCTATGACCATCAGCAGGACCAGCCCTATGACCTACCATGACCATAACCATGACCATACCATGACCATGACCACACCCATGACCATACCATGACCATGACCATACCCATGACCATACCACAACCACACCCATGACCATAATCATACCCATGACCATACCATGATCATAATCATGACCATAACCATATCCATGATCATACCATGATGACCACACCCATGACCATACCATGACCATACCATGACCATAACCATGACCATGATCATAACCATAACCATGACCATGACCATGACCACCCCTGGTGACAATGTCCCCAAACCCTCCCGTAACCACCCATCTCCAAGCCCACAACCACCCCATGACCTACCATGACCGTGACCACAACCATGCCCATGACCTACCACGTCCATGTCCATGTCCGTGCCCATGTCCATGTCCATGTCCATGCCCGTGTCCACCCTTGAGATGCCTCACGAAGGTCTCCACCACCAGGAAGGTGACGATCCCGGCCAGGACCCACATCCCCACCGCCAGCATCTGCCCGTGCTCATGGCCTGGGTGCCAAAGACCCTCTGAGGTGCCACCACCCTCTTGGTGCCCCCCATCTCCACCCCGAGCCCAGGTCCTACCATGATGCGAGTGGCCGTGGCCACCGGGCGCGTGCGGAGCTGCGGGGACACAAGGGGAAGGGGGTGATGAGCGTCACCACCTTGTCCCCAGCCTCACCCCCGGGGAGGTCCATGGTGCTCACCGAGGGCGTGAGGGATGAGGTGGAGAAAGGCATCTCCCAGCAACCCCCCTGCAGCGAAGCTGAGGAGCAGCTTGAGGAGCCCCTGGTGCTCCGGAGAGGCCGAATCCAACGGGATGAGGAGCAGGAGGAGATACGGAGCGATGCTGATCACGGCCACGGCCGCCATGGTCTGCACAGGGTGGTCACGGGGTCACCTCTGGCCACGCACCAGCAGCACCAGGGGGAGGGGATGGGACACACTCACGTGGAGCCACAGCGTCACCGGGTCCCGGGCTGGGGGCACAGGCTTGTGGTGGGGGTCTTCATACGGGTGACCATGGCTGTGGTGGAGGTCTTCATGGGAATGGCCATGGCCATGGTACAAGCTCTCATGCGAGTGACCATGTCCATGGTGTGGATCCTTGTAGGAGTGGCCATGGTGGAGGTCTTCATGGGGGTGACCATGGCGGTGGTGGAGATCCTCATGGGAATGACCATGGCCATGGTGAAGGTCTTCATGGGAATGGCTGTGGCCATGGTGGAGATCCGCATGGGAATGACCATGGCCATGGTGGAGATCTTCATGGGGGTGACCATGGCTATGGTGGAGATCCTCATGGGAATGGCCATGGCCATGGTAGAGGTCTTCATGGGAATGGCCATGGCCATGGTAGAGGTCTTCATGGGAATGGCCATGGCCATGGTAAAGGACAAGCTCTCATGCAAGTGACCATGGCCATGGTGTGGATCCTTGTAGGAGTGCCCATGCTGGAGATCCTCATGGCCGTGGCCATGGCGAAGGTCTTCATGGAGCTCCTTGTGCTGGTGGCCACGGCCGTGGAGCAGCTCCTGCTCCATGTGTCGCTCCACGTC